CACGTTGAACAACCCAGAATTCTCAATCAAGACACAAATGACCAGGTTCAAATTTTTGTACTTTGAACACATTATGCAAAGACTTAGCTCTTTGGAGAAGGCTCTAATGGTTGGAAATGTGGAAGAAAAGAGGACAGCTAACACCAAGGTGGATGGACTCAATTACAGTGGCAATGGGTGCGCTGTTGGAAGACCTGAAGAACCAGGTTAGGGACAGACTGTCATGGAGAAAATCTACTTATGTGTTCACTAGGGAGTTGAAAATGACTTGATGACACATAATCAATTATTTCCCATATTAAACCTCAGCTCAAAGACAGATAAATAATGTTTCAGGAAGAAGCTTTAGAACCCTGCTTAGGAGGAGCTTAATAAGGGCATATCTTTGTATTTTTTGTGCTCAGACAGTACTTTGAACAGCAAATTCTTGAGAAATCTATCAGTGAGACTAGTAACAACAAAAAAAAGAGAAATATTCCCTATGATAAAAGCCTGGTTTGTGCCTAACATGAAGCTGTAATTGATGGATTCACATATCAGATTAAATTAATAGCAGACAGATCACAGGCTTACCTCAACTTGTATAAAATAAAATACCCTGCATGAGATTATTAAATGGATATTTTTTTAACTATGAGAAAGAGATAAAAATGGAATATTCTGCATTCAGGTTTTCACACTGAGAATTATTTATTTTAATCCAAAATTAAGCAGTAGCACCTTATTGTCCTTGACTGATCTTGAAAAAAAAGAAAAACAGGATTGAGCCTGGTTAGTACTTTGATGGAAGACTATCAGGAAGTCCCAGGGCTTGACTGAGAAGAAAGCAATGGCAAACCATTTCCACTGTTGCCCAAAAAAGGACATGAATATATCCATATGGTCACTAGGAATGAAGCTGAACTCAAGAAAAACAACTTAAGAGTACAAACTGAGTTAACAAATTACGTGTTTAGTGTCTCTATATTAAAGCAATTCCCAAGAAATCTACAGTTGTTCTTAAACTATTTGCTTTTGTCCTGGAAATAGTTTATTTTGTATTAAACTGGGAAAACATATTTGATTATCCATTATATATTTGTACCTTTTTGCACATACAGAGAACTCAGAGAAGCAAACATGGCTTCTCCAACATGGTAGGCCACCTGGGCAAATCTCATTGTAGTTCTGCTTGCTTAGCTTCAGCAGTACCTTTAGGAAAACTGTATGTAAAAATTAGAATTCCTGAATTATGATATGGAGCTCAAAATTAGTTCTGTGTTCAGAATAACTAAATAAAAAATTCTAGTTCAGAAGGAGTGAACACTGTCCCATGAACATTGTTGAAACAATGATTTTCAAAACCTTTGAATTCTGAAAATTCAAATTATTACAGTACTGTAGTAAATTATCTAACTGGCTTTCAAACATTCAATTTCAGAAAGCTATTGCTATAGCCAGTCACAGATTGATCATGATTTGCACTGCTGTCATTAAAACAATAATTTTCTTCCAAACACCTCAACACATATGGTATACAAACAAAAACTTATTTTTAATAACATTGCTTTTGGTAAATAATTGCAAGCTCTTTCAGACATTATTTTGTATGTTCAACATAAGAATGGGGACCCCTTTCCTAATTGTGTGTTAGTGACAGAAGTGACACTAGAAGAGTCTCCAAGCTTAGAGAGTGACTGCATGCAATGGAGAGACTAGCTCTACACGCAAGTGTTGCCATATAAGTTTATACTATACTCAAGTGGAAGGAAAGTTTCCACTGCTGGCAAGCACACTGCAAATGTAGAGTCTCTCTCTTCACTTGTGTCACCAGTACAACTAGGTGAGGGGCTCTCAGTGTCAGAGTCTGCACACTCATTCCCAAAGTTCAGTAAATCCTCTGGAGACCAAACAGTTC